GTCACATTTTCTGACATATTCCATTAGTAATCTGCTCGTACATTCCCCCCCCTTTTTTCTTAATTGAGGGGGGAGAAAGAGCACATGTGTAAGAGGGAGCTGCTTATAATAATACATATTTTTAATGCTCAAGGACCCAGCAGAATCTGTTGTGGGTGGGTTGGTAATAGCTTGCTTGCTTCAAAGCAATAATTAGTCCAAATGGTCAGTTTGTTCCTTCTTGGTTCTAGCACCCTTAATTTCTCATTCTCAACCTTGTCTGCACAGATACATACATGCTACCTGCTTTTTTCCACTTCACTCATCCTTGAAAACTAAGGGTGCATGTCTTTATGTACATTACAGTGTGCTCAGTATTAGTAAATCACTTTAGAAAGCTAGCTGTTTCTTTGCATTGGAAGAATAGATTCCCTATTTTCCCTGATTTAAAAGTAAAATGTCGTTTAACTTTGAAATATTTCTTTTTGGCAAATGGTCATATTTAGACTTTGATAGAAACTTCATATAGATTGAGTACCCCCGGTCTGAAATGTTTGGGACCCCAGAAGTACATTAGATTTCATATATTTTTGGATTTTTTAACATTTGCATATGCTTAGTGAGATACCTTGGGGATAGGACCATGATCTAAACATAAGATTTATTTGTGTTTTATATATACCTTATACACTGTAGCCTGATGATAATTTCATATGGTATTTTTTAATAATTTTGTGCATGAAATAAAATTTTGACAGCGTTTTGACTATGACCCATCACTTGAGGTCATGGGTGGGATTTTCCAAATGTGACATTTAAAACATTCCAGATTTCAGATCTTCAGGTTAGGGATGCTTAACCTATAGCAGATGAAGGATTAAAACTGTGCTGGATTAAAGCCGTGATGTTTCTGAATCTCATTTGTTTTACATTTACAGTAGTTTCATTTAATAGATTTGGAGAGTGGATGCTTAAAGCATCTACTTAAAAAAAAAAAAAGAACAGTTTTTCTTATTATACAATCAGAATTATCAATCAGTTGCCAAAGAGCTATAATGCACCGAATTTTATAACAAATTAAGCTCTACATTTTAGAATAAAAGTTATGGATGCTGTAGAAGTTGCTGAAGAAAGATGGCTTGATGACTGACGTAATAATAATAAAACTGCTATTAACATGATGCTATCGCAGCCTCTTAATTGACCTTGTAGATTTGCTAGTATTACTACTTTTAATATTTTTTTAAATTAAGATTCAGGGATAATTGGGATTCAGAGCCAAGTCTGAGTCTTATGGTCTTTGTTGTTGTTGCTGCTGTTGTTTTGAGATAGAGTCTTGCTCTATTACCCAGGCTGTAGTGTAGTTGAGTGATCATAGCTCACTGCAACCTCTGCCTCCTGGGTTCAAGCGATTCTCCTGCCTCAGTCTCCCAAGTAGCTGGGATTACAGGTGTGTGCCACCATGCCCAGCTGATTTTTGTGTTTTTAGTAGAGAAGGGGGTTCACCATGTTGGCCAGGCTGGTCTCGATCTCCTGACCTCAGGCAATCCACCCGCCTTGGCCTCTCAAAGTGCTGGGGTTACAGGTATGAGCCACTGAGCCCAGCCCTGGTATTCTTTTTGACAGAAAGTGCTAACTTTAGAGAAGTGAGGCTGAGTGCAATGACTCACACCTGAAATCCCAGCACTTTGGGAGGTCAAGGCAGGAGGATCGCTTCAGGCCAGCAGTTTGAGACCAGCCTGGGCAACATAGGGAGACCGCTTCTCTACAAAAAAGAAAAAAAAAAAAACAATAGCTGGGTATGGTGGCACACGCCATTAGTCCCAGCTACTGAAGCCTGAAGCTAGAGGATCCCTTGAGCCCTGGAGGTTGAGGCTGCATTGAGCTGTAATTATGCCACTGCACTCCAGCCTGGGCCACAGAGCAAGATCCCATTGAGAGAGAGAGAAAAGAAAAAAAAAGAAAGAAAGAATACTTAGTGTATGTTCCACAAAGAATGTAGGACTTACTGGGAACTAAAGAATGGAATAGCAGCATGGAAAGTAGTCCAACAAGGGGACAGAGCAAAGGCAGAGAAGCAGGAATGGGCTTAGCAGTCCATCAGACAGTGCAGAGACTTATCTGATGGAGGATCAAGGCTGCATGGTGAGAATTCATGGGAACTGACTGTAGTATGAGACCAGGTTGTGGAGGGTCTGAAAAGCTGGGCAGAAGGATCTAATTTAGTTTCCATAAAGGACATTCGAAAGTGTTTTGAGCATTGGAGCTCTGTAGGTAACATTTAGGAAAACCTGTCTGACAAGGATATGCGGGAAAGAGGAAGTGAAGGGAGAACTTAGAGTCCCCAAGAAAGCCAACTAGAACGATACACTAGCTTTAGGCTAGAAAGTTAGAATCAAGGTGAGGCCGGAGAAGAAAGGATAGACACCAGAGACATTTCAAAGAAAACAGAAGAATTGGACTTACAGTACATGACTAGATAAGTGTTGAAGGAGAGAAATAAAGACAACTGACATTTTGAGTTTGAGCGGCTGGGGAAAGCGTGGTTTTCTACTTGCAGAGATAAAAAGGTTGAGAAGACAAGTAGATTGGAAAGAGGGTAAGGGTTTAAGTGAGGAGGCTGATGCTGAGCCCACCTTTCAAGGCCAAGTGGGAGAGCCAGAGCCAGACTGAGGATGAAAGGTGTCCATGTCCAGGTGCCAGCGTGACCCAGAACTGAGGAGTATAAGGAACTATTGGTGCAAATAGGGTGAGGCATCAGAAGTGAAGCTATCACCAGAATTATGGAATATCGGGGATTCCAGGTGGATCTGAGCAGACTCTGTCAGTCTGGTATCCTCCACAGGGAGTGCCTTCTGACCACTTTAAGATTTGTGGTTGGTTGGTTAGTTGGTTGAAGACAGGGTCTTGCTCTGCTACCCGCTTTAGGATTTTTGTTTGTTTTGTTTTGTTTCTTTGAGACAAGGTCTCACTCTGTCACCCAGGCTGGAGTGAAGTCACGGCTCACTGCAGCCTTGACCTTCTGGGCTCAAGTGCTCCTCCCGCCTCAGCCTCTCGAGTAGCTGGGACTACAGGCATGTGCCACTGTAGCTGACTGAGTTTTGTATTTTTGGTGGAGACAGAGTCCCACTGTATTGCCCAAGCTGTTCTCAAACTCCTGGGCTCAAGCGATCTGCCTGCCTGAGCCTCCCAAGGTACAGGGATTACAGGTGTGAACCACTGTACCCAACCCACTTTAGGATTTTGTTAATTTAGAATTATTTAGTCTTCTCATTTCATTTTCTGCAGATTCTCCTAGGTATGAATATAACAGATTCTCCTTTTTGGAAACTGTTAATGGTATTCAAATAAAAAGGAGTTTATGAAAGTCTATGTCAGTTTGTTTCATCTATACCTCTCAGAAAGCCATTTTCTTAACATGAATTAATATACAATATTGTGTGAGGAGTAAGCCCTTTCCTGCTTTGAGGCTAGAAAAAGACACATTCCCAAGAAATCAGGATAAAGGGAAAAATGACTTTGAGATGTACTTTCTTAAAATAACTGAAGTAATGACCGCATGAGCCAGCTAGCTGATGGGTTTGCAAATGGATATGTTTCTATCAGCCTGCTGCTTGATGCCAGAGCCAAATATACATGGAGTGTATTATATCATATCCTGTAGGCAGGAGACTGTCAGGGCACTGGGGGACTTAGAAAGAGAGGTGAAGTGGCAGGCTTGGCACAGGAATTAACAGCATGACTATCATCAGCCAGAACTTTAGTAGGTAAATATTACTGATTGGGTTCATGGTTCCCTACTATATAACAATTTGTATCATCTCTAGTAAAATAATATCTAATATTTATTATAATAAGAATTATATGAACACCTGATATTTATAGAAATCTTGAATATTATAATGTTGGTATACTCATTCTCTCATTAATACTTAAGTATTCCCATTCCTGTTTTTTTCTTGTTTTACTTTATAACTGCAAATCCACATCCCTAAGTGTGACTCATTGCTAAAAGTGGCCTCCTTTTGGTTTTCAGCTGCAGGGTCAGTGTAGATGCATCCTTCGTTGCAGGATGCTACTCATCTCTGGGGTGCTGTAGACCACCAGGTTAGAAGGAAAGCAGGAGGTCTCGGAAGGAGGCACAGATCATAACTTGATAAACTGCTTTTCTTGCCAAAAATCATTATCAGCGATTAAGAATATTCACAAAGTAGACCGACCGCCAACACACAGAGTGTGGTTACTATGCCAGGAAGTAAGAATGGCAGCCGTCTTTGTGGTTTAAAGCCTGTTTGGTCTGGATTTGATTTGTAAAATTAATCTGAATGAAGTAAATAATGCATTTAAATTTGTACATGCTTTACTGTATCTATATGTCAGACTCATGGACAGTGGTCTAGCTTACTAGAAAATTTCTAGAAGAGTTTTAGGGTTATTTTTCATTTTTTTTAAAGTTAAAGGCCTGTTTATTTTCATATATTTTATAATCAACCACCTTATTGAATTCTCTTATTGTTTATAGTAGGATTTCATTTGATTTTTTGAGATTCTCTAGACAATAAGGTGACTTCACCTATAAATAATGATGATTTTATCTGCTCCCCTCTTATTTCTCTCTTACCTAATTGCGTTGATTCCTACTTCCAGAGCAGTGTTGAAAACACCCTGAACTTGGCACCCTACATGCATGGAAACTGTAGAAGGGAAATGAGTTCTAGTACCAGTAATATCTTGGGAAGCAAAAATTAAAAATTAAGCTTAGGGTCAGATATTCTTACTGTTACAGAGAAAAGTCTACAAAATGCAGCCTAAGATGCACTTTACCAACATATGTATAATTCTCAACCACCTATGGAGCTATAGGAACCTATGGAAAACAGTGGGTTTTCATCAGTCACATCTCAGAATTCTCTGGGACCTTCCTAGAAACCTCTCTGTTGTTTAAGGTTAGAATTTAAGGAGTCGTAAACACACCCCAGATGACTTTCATGAGTACTGATGACCATACTGTTCTCTTCCAGGCTCAGCTTCGGGCATTTATCCCAGAGATGCTCAAGTACTCCACAGGTCGGGGAAAACCAGGTTGGGGGAAAGAAAGCTGCAAGCCCATCTGGTGGCCTGAAGATATCCCCTGGGCAAATGTCCGGAGTGATGTTCGCACAGAAGAGCAAAAGCAGAGGGTGAGAGTTCCTCTGACTGAGTTGCCTGATTGCTTTTCTATCCTAAGTTAACCGCCTCAATTTTTGTCATTTCTACATCTTGTGCTGTAAAGTCTTTGTGTAATAGGTTAGCCTGTCCCTCCAAAGATTGATGCTTTTTTATTTATAGCCTTTTCCATTTGTCGCTCCATCACTATACTATAAATAGAAGACTGGGATGAGTCCATGAGTTTACACTGTGTCTTCAGGGTTGCCTTTGGAGCAGTTTTGTTGTTGCTTTTTGAGATGGAGTCTCGCTGTGTCACCCAGGCTGGAGGGCAATGGTGCAGTCTTGTCTCACTGCAACCTCCACCTCTGGGTGGAGCAATTCTCCTGCCTCAGCCTCCTGAGGAGCTGGGACCACAGGTGTACGCCACCAAGCCCAGCTAATTTTTGTATTTTTAGTAGAGACAGGGTTTCACCATGTTGGCCAGGATGGTCTCAATCTCTTTTATTTTATTTATTTATTTATTTATTTATTTATTTATTTATTTTTGAGACAATCACAGTTTAAAAGCATGAACCATATAACAAAAAGTGGAATAAAGATAAAGCACTTCTTCCCAAAGGAAATTATCAGCTAGTGAAAAATTAGGCACTTCATCTCAGTTACCGACTGCAAGTCTCTCTCCGCTCTAGCTCTCAAGCTTTGGGTGAATGTTCCTTCAAAATATATCTTCAACTTGAAAGTTCATACTCAAATCAAAAACTCCTTTTACTGAGTTTGCAGTACTGTATTTGCACTGTTTGTACTCCTCTGGGCCTTTATTGCTACTTTTGCTTTCCTTTGTTACACAGATTTTGTGTTGCACTTTGTTCTCCAGCGGGGTGTTGTAGAGCCTTGGTTGTATGAGTAATACCAGTGGCAGTGTCCACAGCTCACATGCAAGCCCATTTGGCATCTCTCCTCTCCTCTCTCTCAGAGGATTTATTATGCATAGAGTATGAAGAGTTGTGGTCACAACTTACTTGAAAAAGTCAAAAAATAATTGCTTTCTTCCGTTTCTTTGGTATTAATTCACAGGATTAGGTTTTACTTGAAAGAAAGCTATAAAAACTTAAAAGCAGGGAAATGGGAGTGGAAGGTCAAAAATAAGTTACTAAGAACAAACTCCGTGAGACTTGACTTCACTTATGATACATGGATAGAAAGAGCAAGTCAGCCACCTTCATTCTGTTTTTCAATCTTTGCTCTTGGATTAAGAGGTGTGAATCTCCCACTTCCTGAGGTGGCATTTAGTGGAGAACAAGAATTACTAGTAGCCCCGGAAGATCTTGTATTTATCCCACTGACGGGAGAGACAGTACTACATTTTGAGCTTTCTGGGGCTTCTGCTCCTGAAATAGATACCTCAATTGTCCTCTTTCCTCCTTCAGACCATGCTCTGAGAGGTAACTGAACAGGTGACGCTGGTGGAGAAGGATTCAAACCAACAAGTTTCTGCTGCTCTATCAACTGCATAGTTTTCCACAAGCCTCCATACTTTGTCGATTCAATTCTGCAGTCCGTTCCTCCGTACTACCTGGTGCTAGAGACTGTGCTACTGGAAACGTAGAAGTCATGTCACTTGTACTTTCTTGTTTCTTCAACTCCCGGAGTCCATCCCCTTGCTCTCCTCCGGGCTCAATAGTATTATTCATATGTGCCTTGATAGCTGGATTCTGCAGTGTCAACTCAGCAATTCGTGCCACTATGTCCTTTCTTTGTATTAATGCCTCATTTGTTCTCAGCTGCTGCCCATCTCCCAGTACTGGGGGCTCTTCCGAGAATGTAGGGTTTCTTGAATGTTGACTGTTGGAATGGGAATTGCAGAGGGGCTGTGAGAGGTTAACAAAAGGAGACTGAGTTTTGTTCTCCAAATCTCCCATGTGAGAGACTCTCCACCTCTGAGTGAAGAGACAACTCTCTTCACTTGAATTCTGAATGTCTATATCAATAGCTAAGGTCTTTTTTTTTTTTTTTTATGAGACGGAGTTTTGCTCTTGTTACCCAGGCTGGAGTGCAATGGCACGATCTTGGCTCACCGCAACTTCCGCCTCCTGGGTTCAGGCAATTTTCCTGCCTCAGCCTCCTGAGTAGCTGGGATTACAGGCATGCACCACCATGCCCAGCTAATTTTTGTATTTTTAGTAGAGACAGGGTTTCACCATGTTGACCAGGATGGTCTCAATCTCTTGACCTCGTGATCCGCCCGCCTCGGCCTCCCAAAGAATAGCTAAGGTCTTCTATTCCCAATTTTGTTCCTTCTCAATTATTTCCACAGTTGGAGGCATTCGTGGAGCAGGACGAGTTTGAACAGTCTTTCTCAATACGTCCTGCAGAGGAGAGAATTCTGAGTTGCTTTTCTGCTAGGGTAGTGTTAACAACACAGCTGGCTCAAAAATATGTGCTGGAAAATTCTTGGCCAGATTCATGCTATCTGAAGGATTTGGTCTCAGTCTCTTGACCTCACGATCCACCCACCTCGGCCTCCCAAAGTGCTGGGCTTATAGGCATGAGCCACTGCGCCTGGCCTATGGAGCAGTTTTAATTTTATGAAGTGCTTGGGAAAGTCAAAGAAACTTGAAGTAAAATTATTAATCACTTTGAACACTTAGAAATGCTCTTATTTCTGGGTACTAAAAATCATTGAAAAATGTAAATAAGGAATTAGAGGGATATGAAATCTGCCAGATGAGCCTGCTAATAGCAAAACTTTTAGAAGAAAGATTAAACTACATACCGTTCCTTACTTTTTTCCTTATTTATTTTTCATTTAGCTTGGAGGTTTACTGAGAATTAATATGCCATTCTTGATCAGAATAATCTTTCTTGGGCCAGGTGCAGTGGCTTACGCCTGTAATCCCAACGCTTTGGGAGGCCGAGGCGGGTGGATCACCTGAGGTCAGGAATTTGAGACCAGCCTGGCCAACATGGCAAAACCCCATGTCTACTAAAAATAACAAAAATTAGCTGGGTGTGGTGGCGGGCACCTGTAATCCCAGCAACTCGGGAGGCTGAGGCAGGAGAATCACTTGAACCCAGGAGGTGGAGGTTGCAGTGAGCCGAGATCATCACACCATTGCACTCCAGCCTGGGTAACAGAGTGAAACTCCATCTCAAAAAAACAAAAACAAAAAAAGAATAATCTTTCTTTGTAAGAAGTTTAAGAGCTTTGGCCTCAGGTTAGAATAGAGTGTAAACCAGGCTTTGATCAAGAAACCAATGGGAAACCCTATTTGATACTTGTACTCAGCTTCTTCTACCAGAACCAGTCTGCGGGAAGTAATCTTAGGAGGGTTTACAAGAGGTTTGGTTTGGTTTGATTTGATAAAGGAGTAGCTGCTTATTACGTATTGGGACTAAATAACCAAAGTTCTTTGTGGCTTAATATGCTTTTCCGGTCTTTTGGTGACAGGTTTCATGGACCCAGGCACTACGGACCATAGTTAAAAACTGTTATAAACAGCATGGGCGGGAAGACCTTTTGTATGCCTTTGAAGACCAGCAAACGCAAACACAGGCCACAGCCACACACAGTATAGCTCATCTTGTACCGTCCCAGACCGTAGTCCAGACCTTTAGTAACCCTGATGGCACTGTCTCACTTATCCAGGTGAGTAAACCTGAGGACTACGAGACTGTGGTTTCTGAGGTGGATCCGTGGGCGCCTCACCTCAGACTGGGGAAAGTTTCCTTGGTGCGAACTCTTGTGTGAACTTTATATAGCTCCTCAAGAGCTTCCTACCTGAAATTGATTTCTGAAGAATAGTTTAAATTCTTTGCATTTGCTAAATACAGAGCTATGAGTAGCTTTCATGAACATTTCCAAAACAAAGCACTTTTAAAGGGCTTTTTTTTTTTTTTTTTTGAGACGGGATCTCTCTCTGTTATCACAGCTCACCGCAGACTCAACCTCCTAGGCTCGAGTGATTCTCCCACCACAGCCTCCCGAGTAGCTGGGACTACAGATGTATACCACCAGGCCTGGCTGATTTTTTAATTTTAATTTTATTTTATTTTTTGTTTATTTTTTAGTAGAGACGAGGCCTTGCTATGTTGCCCAGGCTGGTCTCAAACTCCTGAGCTCAAGCTATCCTCCCACCTCAGCCTCCTAAAGTGCCAGGATTACAGATGTGAGCCACTACAGCCAGCCTTAAAATGACTTCTGTTTTACAGTTTCAGGGAATATTATTTAGTGATCAGGGAATATTCCTTCTGAATTACCTCTTCTGAGGTAAAACACAATTCTTTTTATTTTTTTTATTTTAAGACAGAGTCTTGCTCTGTTGCCAGGCTGGTGTGCAGTGGTGTGATCTCAGCTCACTGCATCCTCCACCTCCTGGATTCAAGCAATTCTCCTGCCTCACCCTTCCCAGTAGCTGGGACTACAGGTGTGCACCATCATGCCCAGCTAATTTTTGTATTTTTAGTAGAGACGAGGTTTCACCATGTTGGCCAGGGTGGTCTCAATCTCTTGACCTCATGATCCACCTGCCTCGGCCTCCCAAAGTGCTAAAATTACAGACATGAGCCACCATGCCCGGCAAAACATAATCTGTCAATTGGGAACCTCTAAAGTTCAGGTTGGGGTGAGAGTAAAAGTTGGTTGGCCAGCAGTGGACATGGATGTGGTGATGTGATAGCTCTTCTAATATTGACTTATTTGGTTGAAGTAAAATCCTGAAACTCGTGATAGTCTATGAGCTATAATTTTAGTGAGCTATGATTTTAGACTTCACATCATAAGGCATATTCATTGTTATCTGTGCTGAATTTGGGATTAAATGAGTCTTAGCTTCTGAGTAAAGGAGAGGTAGAAGGATCCATCCACTGACACCACTTTCCATATTTTTCTTTAGGTTGGTACAGGGGCAACAGTAGCCACATTGGCTGATGCTTCAGAATTGCCAACCACAGTCACTGTTGCCCAAGTGAATTATTCTGCCGTGGCTGATGGAGAGGTAAGAAAGAGGATGCTATCTGCATCTTCTTAAGTACTTGAATGTATAATGAGGGAGAAGTGAGGGTCCAGAAGGTGGAGTAGTCTGAACATCTGCAGCACTCATTCATTTAAACCTTTTGAAACATCAGACCATGAAAGTTTTGGAAAGTGTCTTATGCTATATGTGTTAATTGTAACAGTCAAGATTCATGGATCATTATGACTCAAACTTCAGGAACTTAAAATTTTACATTTGAATGTATAGCATTTGGTATGATATGCAATACAGAGAGATTATCCCTTTAATGTTTTTATGCTGTGAATCCCAAAGAATTTCATCTTTGGTCTTTATGAAACGAAATGGCGCATTAAAACTGGAACTGCCTAAGGGAAACCTTCTTTGAAGGGAAAAATATATTTGCATGTCAGTAACATGATTTATGCCTTTGAAAAGATTTCTTAGAATCCTTCCTTACCAAAATTGGGGTAATTTTGGGATGTTAACCTAACGACAGACAACCTTTGTTGATCACTTGGTGGGCTAAACATTCGACCCTGTGGAGTACAAGTTCTGTTTTCATCTTCACTTTAAAGATGAGAAAACTGAAACATGCCAAGCTTAGGTGATTTGCCCAAAGTCTCAGAGCAGTGTTAAAGCTGGATAACACATTGAGAAAAACATTATCTAGGCTCTGAGCCATTGGTAAAGATTCAACAAATGAAGGAAGGGGTTTGTTAACATCACCATGAGTGTTTCCCCCTGAAAATACTGGTGTGGTGTCCTGAGTTTGAAAAACAGCCAACAGATGTCAAAGAGAAGTATCAGGAATAAAGCTAAGAGTATTATCTCACCCTTGCTGAGAGTCATGGAGCATTTCCCCTTAGAACACCACAAAGTCACTTTCATTTGTGCTTCTCAGGAGAAGGGGAGAACTGGCAAAGGCCGCATGGCTGGAAGATGGAGGGAGAGTGCACTGCAGGCTCCTGGGCCAGCCTGCACCTACCAAGCCCCTGTGTAGCGGCAGCTGTGTAGAGTTGATTCGCATAGGATCCTTGCTGTCATGGGACTCCAGTCTAGTGGGGAAGAGATGTCTATGTGAATGAACTCTAGCCCTGCTGTAAGGGATGCTGCAAAGCGTGTGTGCCTCCTTTGCACCTAAGGAGCCTGGGAAAGTTTAGGACACTGAAACACTTGGTTATTGGGTGAGGAAAGGTAAAGGTTGACAGGACATTTCCTTTCTAAGTATATAAACATCATTAAAGGATATGGATTAGCAAAGCAAAGGATTTGTCAGTCCTGGCACACTAAACGAGATAACACTCCTTAAAGTCTGAAAGAGGTGGAAAGACAAGGAGGGGTACAGTTAGGAGGTTTGTTTGTTTTTGGCTTAAAGTTATCAACCATATCTCTCTACTGAATGTTTCCTGGTACTATTTAAAGAAAGTAAGTTTGTATTTCCTTTAAAAATTTTTTTTGACACATAATATTTATAACGTATTTATGGAGTTGTGTTTCTTTTCAGAGTCTCGCTGTATTACCACGCCGGAGTGCAGTGGTGCGATCTCGGCTTACTGCAACCTCCGCCTCCTGGGTTCACGCAATTCTCCTGCCCCAGCCTGTCGAGTAGCTGGAACTACGGGCATGCGCCAGCACGCCCCGCTAATTTTTGTATTTTAGCAGAGACAGGGTTTCACCATGTTGGCCAGGTTGGTCTCGATCTCTTGACCTCGTGACCTGCCTGCCTTGGCCTCCCCAAAGTGCTGGGATTTCACACATGGGCCACCAAGCCCAGCCAGAGTTGTGTTTCTTAAACACTTCTCTAGGACTAAGTCCATGAAGTATACTTTGCTAGATAAGATACAAAAGTAATCAATGTATTCAGATATTCATAGAAAATATTTTTAAAATCTCGGTTGCATATCTGTGGCTTTTCTGGCATACTAACGTCATTGTTAAGCCAGCTATTGTGGAGGTTGGTGAATGACATATATAAAGTTTTTATAGCCTTTTGGTAAATGCCTGGATTCAGTAAGATGAAAAGAAAATACTCTTCCTACACTTCGAGTGAAACGAAAATGACAGAGAGAATGCCTAGGTTATATCAGAAAGTGACATGTTGAGATTATATTCTATTTCCATTTGCCGTCTGATTTCTCTTGGATGTTGCAATAATTGTTAGTTTTGAACCATAAGAACTGTAATTACTCAAATATCTCCCTGAAGTGGGCTATATATGGCCACATCAATGCCAGTGAAGGATTGTATGAGGTGACTCGGTAGGAACATCCTATTTCTTTATACTTAGGTCTGTTCTCCCATGGGACAGAAAGTATTTTATAGCAACAAACAGTACCCATACTTTTAGCAGTCATGTGGTCATTTTGCTATCCCAGCCTTCCCAGTGAGGGCTCTCACCATTACCACACTGTCTTCAGCGACCAGTTACATTTATGGGAAGGGTCATTTGGGGGCCTGCTGAGCTGAGAATACTCAGTAATCTGAGTAGTTACAGAGCAACAAACTCTCTAGCCTTTAGCAGTTAAAAATTAGTGACACAGAACAAGTTACATAGACGTTTATAATTGAACAAGGAAGGCATTTTAAACTAATTTGAAATCGTGTTTGATTTTAAAATATACAAATTTTATTTTGATGGCATATTGAAAGATGCAGATGAGTTTGAGAATCTATTCTGCTGTGTGATAAGACCAGGTATTGGTGATACTAATTGCATTAGGTGTCAGAAAAGTCTAAATTTGGAATAGAATGGTATCTGATGATAATGGTGTATGTAATTCTGTTAGAAGAAAAGAAAGCCAAAGTTCAAAAACATTAGAGACATGAATTTTAAACTGAACCATCAATATATGTCACAGTTTTGAATCGCATGACTCATTGTAGATGCATTTTTATGAATGTCAATTTACCTTAAATATGGGCAGGCTGAAGAACAAGTAGGAGAAACATAAGTAGTATTTTTCCTTCCATCCATCCCTTCAGTAAACACTTTTTGAGCCCTGCGCCAGTTACTATAGATACTATAGATAAAAGATAGTAAAGACTCCCCTTTCCCTTAAGGAGCACATAGGTAGATAGTAGAGAAAAGCAAAGCACAATTGCAGTGACATAAGGGTCTGTTAGCAGCAAGCCCAGGGTGCTGCGGAACAGCAGAGGAGAGCCTCTCATCTTGGACTTTAGGGTAATGGAATTATCTCAAGAAACACTTCCCAGAGGTAGCCCCTGAGCTTAGACTAGAGGGGTAAACCAGCAAAACAAAGGAGAGAGGTGGGACTTCTACTGTGTCAGATGGAGCAGCACGTTCAGTGCATTGACTTGTGAAAGCGTGGAACAGCCACAGTTTGAAGGGCCACATGGTAGTGGGCCTGTCTCAGAAATGCATAGTAGCTGATAGGACATCTTCTGAATATCTTCCCCTCCCAGGGCCTGTGGTCCTTTCTTTGTGGCATGGTGACATCCAGGCACAGATAACTACACACCAGCCCCCAACAGATGGGAAGGAAGTGCAACAAAAGCTTACACAAACACAGTTTAAGAAAACAGTGAGACTCAGAAATAGGAACTTCCAAAGAGATGTCAGCAGCTGAGCTGATTTCTTGATCACCTGCCATATTTCTGATTAGAAATCTCTTCCTCTGTTTCTCCTCGTATTTTCTCTTCACCTTTTATTGTCATTCCATGCCATATAATTTAATATTCTTAAATTATACTGTATATGGCAGTATTCTAATGCTATTTTCACCACAAATATAATTGTAACTAAATGTGTCTATATTGACTTGCTGCTTTTGGAGTTTGAGGACTTGAGAGCTCAGGTGAGAGCAGCAGCATGGGCCGGGCTAAAATAGAGACGCAGATCAGGAAAGACGAAGACTGTTCACTGGCAGCCCGCAACAGTGCCGCCCGCCCGGCTTCAGTGGATGTTTTGAGTGGACTCATCAGCACCTAAGAATTGATGGTAGTGTAGCTTGCCTCTTTCGGTGGCAGCACTGGCAGTGATGTTCATTGGAGCAATGAGATCAAAGCAACCAAGCTTGGGAAGCAAGAGCTTTGGTGTTCCTAAGAGGAACTGTAGGATATCTCTGCCCAGGAGTGATGGACCCTGAAGGCTTGGTGGCACAATTCACTGCCCATGAGAACTCAGGGCAAGCACTAAGGTAGCTCAAAGGAATGTCTCTTTCTCTGGGAGGCTTTTGGCAAACATTCTGAAAAGCATTATCATAATCTTAAGTATGATGACAGAACTAAAGCAGGAGACATTTAAAATATCTACCTCCTAGAGCTTGGGGCACTTTCTTTGGGACACAGTAAAAGACAGGCACAATATAACTAGGCACTAGGCCCCAGCATGTGAAGTAGGAATAGCAAGAGCTGCAATAAGCACTGCTAAGGTCCTGAGACCCAGGAGTCCAAAAGACATATATATACCCTGAGCTGACTGACCACCTACCGTACTTCTCATAGAAATTGCTTTTGCTGCCCCTGCTGCTTTTCAGTTTTGAGGGTGGATAATTAATCAACCAGTATTTATTGAGCAAAACGGACTGAAGTGACTAGATACAACTATTCAGAACTGTCTCTAAATGCAAACAATTACACTAAAATCGGTGGTCCTGTACCCCGGGCCAGAGGGAACATTTGGCAATATCTGGAGACATTTATTACAGTCCTGAATGGGGAGGGTGCTATTGGCATCTAGTGGGTAGAAGCCAGGATGCCACTAACCATCCTGCAGTGCACAAGACAGCCTCACCACCAAGGATACCCGGCCCAAAAATCTTAGCATGCCAAGACTGAGAGACTGTGCTTTGTCTAGCAAACCTGCATTCTCATGTACTCTACCACCAGAGAGTATGGTTTTTGTTTTTGGGTTTTTTTGCAGTGGACAGGGAGAGAGTCTTCATAATTTCTCTTCTACTAAAAAAGAAAGCAATTTTTGTTACAACTTAAAAAATTAGTTTCTGAGGCCAGGCACAGTGGCGCACACCAGTAATCCAGCAGTTTTGGAGGACAAGGCGGGCAGATCACTTGAGGTCAGGAGTTCAAGACCAGACTGGCCAACATGGTGAAACCCTGTCTCTACTAAAAATACAAAAATTAGCCGGGTGTGGTGGCATGTGCCTGTAGTCCCAGCTATTGGGGAAGCTGAGGCAGGAGAATTGCTTGAACCAGGGAGGCAAAGGTTGCAGTGAGCCAAGATCGTGCCACTGCACTCCAGCCTGAGGGATAGAGTAAGACTCTGCTTCTAAAAAGAAAACTTTATTTCTGAATTTAGCAATTTCCATCAAAAAATAAAAAAGCAAAAATAAGTTTGATCTATAATTCTACCTCTAGACATTTATCCTATAAATAGACTCACATGTGATATACACAGTATAGTAGTATATAAGGATCTTCATCACAGCACTGTTACTAGCAAAAGACTGGACACCACCTAAATGTGCATTAAAAGATGACTTGTTAAATAAATCATGATGTTTCTATATAATGCGATGCTTCCCAGCTCTTTGGGAGGCTGAGGTGGGCAGATCACCTGAGGTCGGGAATTCGAGACCAGCCTGACCAACATGGAGAAACCCCATCTCTACTAAAAATACGAAATTAGCCAGGCGTGATGGTGCATGCCTGTAATCCCAGCTACTCGGGAGGCTGAGGCAGGAGAATTGCTTGAACCTGGAAGGCAAAGGATATGGTGAGCCAATATCACGCCATTGCACTCCAGCCTGGGCAACAAGAGCAAAATTCCGTCTCAAAAAAAAAAAAAAAGAAAAGAAATAATGCAATGCTATGCAGCCATTCTTAAGAATCATGAATGAGTAGAGTAGTTTTATATGTTCCAAAAATGGAATCATTTCAGAGATGTACTGTTTGTGAAAAAAGCAAGATACAAAAGATATGTCGAATATGCTGCCATTTTTATTTTAAAGAGGAGGGAGTAGAAAGGGGAAATAGGGGCTGTATGTGTGTAAATATAGTTCCATATAGAGGGAATAGCTCTCCAAAGGTACACGAGAAAATAGTTGTATTACTATGGAAATATTGTGTAATGATAAAACTAATAAAAGAAAAACAAGGAAAATAGGCACAGTTGTAGACCCTTGGAGCAAAGGGTCTAGAGTACTGGTATCATATTCCCTTTGATACAGTTTGAAATTTTGGTATACTTTGAATTTTTTTTCCCTCCCATGGCCTATTTCTAACCTTTCAACTTCATTTATTTACTTATTATTTATTTATTTAAATTGACAAAAGTTGTATATATTTATCATGTACAACGTGTTGTTTTGAAATATGTATATATTGTGAAGTAAATTGAGAAACATATTTAGAAGTGTACAATGGGCCTGGCATGGTGACTTATACCTGTAATCCCAGCACTTTGGGAGGCTGAGGTGGGTGGATCACCCAAGGTCAAGAGTTCGAGACCAGCGTGGCCAACATGGTGAAACCCCATCTGTACTAAAAATACAAAAATTAACCAGGAGTGGTGGCACACACCTATAGTCCCAGCTACTCGGGAGGCTGAGACAGGAGAATCGCTTGACCCAGGAGACAGAGGTTGCAGTGAGCTGAGATCATGCCATTACACTCCAGCCTGGGCAACAGAGGGGGACTCTGTCCCCCCAAAAAAAGGGTACAGTAGAAGGTCTTGCTTTCTGTCTCCCATCCAGCTTGTTTCCAGCTGCTCTCAACCCCACACATACAATGCAGAGAATATATTCAGAGGCTTCTTTTGTGTGTCCTTCCAGAATTTCTTTATGCAAATGCAAGCAAATTCAGGTATATGTTCTAATACCCCCTTTTTTATGCAAAAGGTAGCATGCTTAAAACTCTGTTCTGTACATTGCAGGTCATGTTAACTTTAAAGAGTATGTGTATTTGGCCAAAAAGTAGCAATTATTAGAAAAATTACTTTTAAAATTGTCCTTTTGTGGCTTTGTTTTTTTTTTACAATCTTGTCCTTTCTGCCTCAGGTGGAACAAAATTGGGCCACGTTACAGGGAGGTGAGATGACCATCCAGACAACGCAAGCATCAGAGGCCACCCAGGCAGTGGCATCATTGGCAGAGGCCGCAGTGGCAGCTTCTCAGGAGATGCAGCAGGGAGCTACAGTCACCATGGCGCTTAACAGGTGGTGGCAAGAGTCCGGGAATAAATGAGGATCGTAAATCTGTCCCTGCAGATATGGGTGGAGGCCTCTTAAAGAGAAATGTATCTCAGTTTGCCACAATTGGCAGTTGGAACTTAATGCTCTCAACCCATAAGATATTGTAGTTTGGCCTATAATAGGTCAGTCCCTACCAAGAAAAGTTAAACTTCTTTCTTTTGGGTGTGCTTAGGAAAGGTGATGTGAAATGGAATCCTCCAGTAAAAGGTTTCCAAAACTCAATTGTATTGTTTCCTGCTTAGTTCCTTCTACTGGCTGTGGATGGAAAGATCATCCCTGCATCACTCTTGACACTACCCAGCCCCAACACCCAGTGCAGCCTTTCTGACCTCCAGCCCAGGCCTGCTGGTCAACCCTTCCCCTTTATCCTATTCTGTATCCATTCACCAGAAGCAGCAAGGCTTGAGTGCTTTGTGTTTTCAAGGGACACAGAACAAGTTAAGATGCTTCGAATTAATTGTCCTTTTACCCTACAAAAGAAATTGTATTTTGGGGGGTTATTCATCCATGTTGAAGCATCAAGCAGCTGATTTTACTTGCTTTTGAGAAAATGTGTTGCCCTTGCTTATCAGTGAGCTCAAGATAAATAAGTTTTGGGTTATTGGAGAAAATAATGAACTTTTCTCTTGAGGTATGTTAGGAAGGATGCTGCTGAATGGGTTGCTCCAAGAGCTGGTTTCTAAAACTCGATTGTATTGTTCCCTGCCTGACTCCTTCTGCTGGTGTTGACAGGAAAGATCACCTTCATATCATTCTCCTTCTTCTTCATTCCTGATGCAGTTGTATTTTTAATGAACCCAGGCAATTTTAATTAATGGTCAAAAGTGTGAGAACTGACACCAGACTACTGGGGTTTGAAGCCCAGCTCTGTCACTTACAAGCTGTTTGGCATCGAGCAGTTCATTTGAACTCTCAGTAGCCAGGATCTCCTGTGAAATGGGGGTGATACAGTACATGCCTTCGAGGGGTGTTATGAGAACCGAGTTACTCCATGTGAAATCCTTAGGTCAGTGCCTTGCATGCAGTAAGGCTACTCTTCTCATGCATAGCAGCTATTAGTGCCTTATAGTCACTGAACTTTGGTGGCATGCCAGCACGCTGCTGGGTAAGGTTGTAAATAGAGAAAAGGGTGCTCTAGCATATTCTCTTCTCAAAGAAGTCATACTCTTATTGGGGAGACTGACTTAAGTAAAACACTTAGCAAACAGTATGACTTAGAGTATAACTCACTATTGAACTGTATGGTAAAGACTATGAACATTGTAGAAATTCAGAGGAGGGGGATCACCTCCCCTAAATATAAACTCAGTGAAAGGTTTAGATTGATCGTGATAGATGCTAGAAAGCTGTGATGGATTTGTGTACAGTTCACGGTATGAGGCTGTATAGTGCAGGGTTCCAGAGTCATACAGATTCAGGTTTGAATCCTGGCCCCACCACTCACTAGCCATTTGATCCTGAGAAACACAACCTCTGAGCCTTGTTTTCCCTGTTGTTATCATGAGGATAATACTCATCACACAGAATCATGTATATGAGATGATATAGATAAAATTCTCATCGCAGGATCCAACCCATAGTTAGCACTTCAAGAATTATAGTTATTATCATTTAAGTTGTATTTTAAGAGTTGTCTCTTCTGAATTGATTATAGTGAGAGTAGATTAGAAGATCAGTTAGGAAGAGGCACTCCAGGTATGCCTTGTTACGATCTTAGAAACTAAAGTAGTAAGAATGGAGGTAAAGTGATTCATTTTAAAGGAGGTATGGCCAGGGCTTGGTGGTTGATTAGGAATAAGAAACTGAAACACACACACACACACTCTCTTTTTCTGTTTCTTTCTCTCTCTCTCTCTGTCTCTCTCTCTCTCTTCTTCTCAGTTACCCAGCTAGTTCCTAGTGATCAAAACATTTTTTTCAGCCCATTGAGCCATGTTGGTCTTCATTTCTTTTTTTCCCCCACTCAGGTATATACCCACCATGTTGCTTTTCAGTAACATGAAAGTCTTATTTGGTTCCTTACACTTGGCTCAATTCTACTCCTCCCTTTGAGAGAGACACTCAGATAAACTTCCTGAAAGGCATAGCCAAAGTGAGACCATCCCTCACTTTAGTTCAGAACCCCCCACCCTACTGTAGCTTGGGGCCTAACAGGCCCTCATTAAAGACCAGCAAAACTTGATTTCATTGAGACTTGCGGCCAACACCTTAGATAGTCCAATGAAGTGTGTATGCCCTGCGAACTCTGTACGTAGTGGAAAATATGAGGCACATTTGGGCTCCCTTTGTTGTAAGGACCAGGGCTTATTTCTAAAGGCAAGAGGGTAGTGGTATCCCCTGAGGGCTTGTTAACAAACTCAGATGCAGCTGAGGTGGCTACAGTGTTTACTCCAAAGGAAGGAGAATGTGTTCACTGTGGCATAGAGGAGGAATAAAGAGATGTTGAAATCTCATTGCAATCAGGTAGTTCGATGCCCCAGTGAGTGTTAGGGGTTGGTGTATTGCACCTTCTGCTGGGGATGAAGAAACCACACTTGGCAGCAGAGACTAGACTATAGCAGACCCTTAGGGAAACATCAGGGCTTTCTGAACCCAAGAGAGGTAACCCACGGTCTAATGTCTTAGTCAGGAGGGTTGGATGTAAAACACAAGCCCTTAACATTTGCTTCCTTGTAGACAAGATGCACTAGAATCATTTCGTCCCTGCAATCTGAGCCTCGCCACAGAATTAATGCTGGAAGTCATCTCAGTGAGAAATATACAGAGAAATCTGGTCTTTGTTCCTGTGATGACAAAGCAGTTTCATAATCTGCCCTCTTGCACCTTGTCTCTGTTTCGGGTGGAGATAAAACAAGCATGGTTCTCTAATAACCACCTGCACCTCTGCTGCAATGTAAACAGCAGATGTGGGCTCAGGGTGAGAAGGGAGAGGAAGCTACGTGCAATGGCAGGCTGGGGAGTAAGGAGCAGAGGGGCTCCTTCATCTTGTACAGGGTAAAATGCAATCAGGACAGTTGCAGGACAGACTTGTTTCTCAACCATGCTGTTAAGAGAGTTTCATACTGCAAGTCACAACGAGGGCCCAGGGCTCTGCAGCCTTTAGCCCACCCTGGCTTTCTAACAACCCCAAGTGGGTATGGAGAAATGGTCCTTTAAAAACCTAAAAACTATGTTAATTTTCAATTACAAAATAAAGAATAAATCAGAACTTTTGGAAAGGAAATTAGAAAGGAATCAAAGTGAACAAATGAGCAGAACATCACAGCTTTAAAACAATTTGCGTGTGTATATACATACATACATACATACATATATATATATATATATACATACACACATATGGCTTATATGTATAAACTATTTAGCCTGAACAACCTAAGAGGAAAGGAAGTGATGTCATCATTTGCTTGGGAGACAGTGATTAATTTGAATTTTCAGTTCTTTGGTTAAGCTGTCCCGGACTTGTAGTTCCTCTTAAACATGTCCTTCTACAAAACCATTTCCTGAACATGGCCTGTATAATTCTTGCATGTAGAGATCATGATAGGTCTTTGTAGACTTACTCTACATTTCTGAAGTAGTGGAAACTTACTTGATAGTATATTGCCAATACTGAGACAGTATTTATTGTGTGCAGTGCTGTGACTCAGTGCTATGGAGAAATACTTAGATTAATTCCTCTTCTTAGGGAATCTTAGAATGTCTTTTTTTGTTGTTGTTGTGAAGATTTTGCTTTTAAAAAGTGAGTCATATTTTGAAAGAAAAATTTGCTCTTAATCTTTTTTTTTTAAATTTATTTATTTTTATTTTTTATTTTTTTGCTCTTAATCTTTAAGATGAAAATATTATTGACTTAAAATTAGACATATTATTAAAATAAAATAGGGCTTTATATACGGACTGGTATTTGTCCAATAACATGGGATGGAAAACTTAGATCAGAATTCTTGTCTGGAATAGAGGTCAGGGATGATACAACTGCTTTTCTTTCCTATAGGTAAAGATTAGACACAGATAAAAGGTTGATGGAAACCTCTTATTTGTAGCTCTGGTTTTGAAATGACTTTTGTCTAAAAATTGTAAAGTGGGTCTAGCTCAGGGACTTTTTAATCCCATCACCTTTTTAAGTGAAGGTAATCTTTTTCTAGCAGTTTCGTTTGATCATTCCCCGTAAAGTTGAGCGTGAAAGGTTAGAATCGCTCTGGAAATGATAGCCCACTTGCCACAGGCATCAGCATTTTCTTTATGCCCTATGTAAAGACCCTAACTAGGGGCAAAATGACTAATCATACTGACCTGTCAACCTGTCACCACCATTGCATTGGACCCCTCATATGAGCCCTGGCATTCCAGATTGTTTCAGGGTGTTGCTGATTTTCAGCCTTTCTTCTACCATACCATATTTTAGAAAGAAGTTAAAGAAAGTAACTTCAAGTTTTTAGGGCTTCAAGTAGAATAAAATGAGTGCGATGAGGTGCAGGTACACTTTCATTCCAGGCTTGAGGAGCTGCCCTCTCCCTTCGTTGCCCGTGAAACTCATCCTGCCAGAATGTGTTCAGGAGGGGCAGGAGGGGCGGGATGTCATCTTTGATGGTTATAAAGATGAGATTATTGTAAATTACAAGAAGAATTGTAGGGAATAAGCAGTCGTTGAGGTGACCTTATAAGATCATATTTCCATATAAACTATTCTCATTTAGTTTTCTTCTTTGGACTATCACACAACTTTTCCCAAAGAACATACTTTTCTACTTTCCATAAAGCCTCAGATCACAGTGTAAATATTTGTATTATTAATCATTGACAGGTGGATGCTGTAAAATTGGCTGGTCGTATATTTACTTATTTATTCTTTCTCTTTTTTTTCTCTGATATAGGTAATTAATAAAATTTCCCAATGGTTGGTAGTAGTGTTTATTAATATAAATTTTTTTTATTTTATTTTTTGGAGACAGAGTCTTACT